ATAACAACTAGAACTATGTGGTGAGGGGTTAGTCACTGAGTGGTCAATACAAAGGAAAATGTTAAGAGTAATTGTGTATCCACAATAAGAAGACAACTTGGGATAAGAAGAGTGGAAGACTTGGGGCAAATGACTCCTCACAGAGTTAATCTGGAGTCAGTGGTTGGATCTTTGGTGGAGCCTTGGTATTCACAATCTTCAGATATGGGCACAAAGTGAGTTCACCACTCAGTTAAAAGGAAATGATAAGAAGGGAAATAAAAAAGAAAAAAATCTCGGTGGAGATAGTTGGTGGTGTGGAGACTGCAGAAATAGAGGAGGCACCAAGGAGGGTGGGATTTGAGACCCAGTGAGAGGGTTTGGCAGTCTGTGCTCAGAAAGATAACACAGAGCAGACACTGAAAACACAATGTTCAAAGAAACAAACACACATTAGTGAGTGTGAGGATGTGTAAGGAGGTGATAGAAGTGCTAACCACAATGCTCAGGAGCCCATTGTGACTGTGGCACCTCCTGACCCTCACATGGACTGTCATGAAGCTCTTGAAAGATCTTACTGAGATTTTCTACTCATTTCCCTGTGCAAATATAACTAATTTTCATTTAGGGGAATGGCTTACACACATTCGAAGGACTATAATATAAAGATTTCCTACTTTCTTATACTATCAAAGAATCATAATTTCCAATTTTATATCACATACCTAAGACTCTGATACTGTAACTACCATGAGTATACCCAAGAACAGCCGTTTTGTTGCAATATACACTACACATGTAAGTTTAGGGGAAAAATCAGATATCGACCAATTCAGAAAATAACAAAAATGTGGAAAGTTCCCATGACTTGGAACTTGTTCTACAGTTTCTCATCTCCCTTTTCTATTCTACTGTAAGCCTTGGAGCCTTATTTATTTCTGTGGTCTTTTTTGTGGATAGAGATTGACAACCCTTTCTCTTACATGTTCTGCATTCTCTATATAACCCTTTTTCTAGAAGAAAGAAGTTATGAATAGTGAAATTATAGGTAAGAACTTCTCAGTCAGTTAGTGCCATATTGCTCTGCTGGGTGATTGCTCACTTGGGGAAATTTTTTCTGGCCAAACATATCTAATTATCCCCAGTAATGATGACATCATCTTTGTATGTACGGTGTTCCTCTGAGCAACTGGGCCACCACATAGTTTCACTAACATGTAGAGTTATTAAAAGGGTTTTTTTTTCAAGGATCTTGCTAGGTAAGGCTGTGAGTTTTTTTACTGAATCCTCTTCTCTCTTAGCTACAACCAAAGAGGCCTGTACTCAAGGGCTTTGTTCAAAAAATTCAGCTCACACTTCTCAGAAGTGCAAACTTCACATGCAGAACTGGAATCACCCATCCAGAGGATCCTTCCTCTGGGAATATAGCTGGGTCAGTGCTTTGACTATGGGGAATACAAAGCCAGCTTGAGCATTTCGGGTGTTTGTGATGCATGTGGCATTCTGGCCATGAGATACTCAGTCCCCTTCAGCACC